ATGATTTTGATGTTGGCCATCTGATGATGTCCATGTGTAGAGTCTTCTCTTGTGTTGTTGGAAGATGTTTGCTATGACCAGTGTGTTCTCTTGGCAAAACTCGATTAGCCTTTGCCCTGCTTCATTCTGTACTCCAAGGACAAATTTGCCTGTTACTCCAGGTGTTTCTTGACTTCCTACTTTTGCATTCCAGTCCCCTATAATGAAAAGGACATCTTTTTGGGTATTAGTTCTAAAAGGTTTTGTAGGTCTTCATAGAACCATTCAACTTGAGCTTCTTCAGTGTTACTGGTCGGGGCATACATAGACTTGGATTACTGTGATACTGAATGGTTTGCCTTGGAAATGAACAGAGATCATTCTGTCATTTTTGAAACTACCTCCAAGTACTGCATTTCCGACACTTTTGTTGTCTATGATGGCTACTGCATTTCTTCTAAGGGATTCTTGCCCACAGTAGTAGATAGGATGGTCATCTGAGTTAAATACACCCATTCCAGTCCATTTTAGCTTGCTGATTTCTAAAATGTTGATGTTTACTCTTGCCATCTTGACCACTTCCAATTTGCCTTGATTCATGGACCTAACATTCCAGGTTCCTATGCAATATTGCTCTTTACAGCATCGGACCTTGCTTTTATCACCTGTCACATCCACAGCTGGGTGCTGTTTTTGCTTTGGCTCCGTCTCTGCATTCTTTCTGGAGTTATTTCTCCACTGATATCCAGTAGCATATTGCACATCTACTGACCTGGGGAGTTCATCTTTCAGCGTCTTAATCTTTTTGCCTCATCATGTCCTGATAGCTCGTTTCCTTTTTGGAGCTGATGATATTTCATGTTCTGGATGTTTATTAACAGATTGTTAACTGATTATTAACATTCACAGAAGGACATCTTGGTTGCTTCCAAATTTTGGCAATTAGGAATAAAGCTGTAATATACATCTGTATGCAGGGGTTTACATGGACATAAATTTTCAGTTCATTTGGGTAAATACCAGGGGACACAATTGCTGGTTTGTATGAGAGTATATTTAGTTTTCTATGAAACTGCCACTGTCTTCCAGACTTGCTGTACCATTTTGCATTCCCACCAGCAATGAATGAGAGTTCCTGTTGCTCCACATCCTTGCCAGTATTTGCTGTTGTCAGTGTTTGGATTTTGGCCATTCTAAAATATATGTAGCAGTGCTTTTCGTTTTAATTTGCAGTTCCTTGATGACATGATGTTGGACTTCTTTTCATATGCTTACTTGCCACTGTATAGCTTCTTTGGTGAGCTGTCAGTTCAGGTCTTTTGCCTACTTTTAATTCAGGCTGCTTTCCAGTGTCTAGGAGCATCTGCCCAGATAAGCAGATGTGTCTTCTATGCCTGCCTACAGAGCCTGTGTCACCTTCGGTTTGGGGCTAGTTGGTTGCCCTCTGACCTAAGCTCTCATGGGTTTAAGAAAAGTCTTGAACTTGCAGCTTCTCGGGCTTACTTGGTTGTAAGGGTGGAAGAAAGACCTTTAGTGTAAGACTGGAAGGTGTAAGTATTTGTCTATACCTGAGAGAGCAAGCCAGAGAAGGAGATGAAACCCCACGTTCAACAGTGAAAACCTTAAGAAACTATTGTACATGTGGTGTCTATTAGTATTCCTTAATACTTGTAACAGCTTTTTAAAGTTAGTTAGCCTCCTGAGAAAGGGGCAGTAGGTAAATTCACTGTGTTAAAAACAAAAAAAGAGTGAATTTCATTTCAGAATTGCCCTGATGGTCTTTCAGCTGCCTTTTGAGCTGGAAATGAGAAGGCCAGCTACAGAAGCGTGGTGCTGCCAGTGCTTACACTCAAGATAGAATTGCAAGTGGGAAAGCTGCTCAAGAACTATAAATTAAACTCAGCAATGTTAAGAATATTATACTTAATTTCTAAATTTTAATAATGTAGCTAAGAAATATGGGACATTTAATAACATACATATACAAAGTAAAAACCCTGTCGCCTGCTGGTGCTTTTAAAGATGGTGGTATTCTTTGTCTGAATGCGACAACTTAGTACTATTACATTATCTCATTTTGAAGATTATAAGTATACACATATATATTCACAAACAGAGGAAGATCTGTTTTAGACTATCTAAAGTACTCTGGGCTTTGTGTGTACATACTTTGATGGGACTGTCGTTTTAGAAGATGATAAAACGTAACCTGGTAGAAAAGGTGGATCTGTGTGTAACTTCGTGGTGTAGGTATCCCCATATGGTGCTTTGTTGAAATAAATGAAACTGAAGATGGAATTCTGAGTCTCGTAAAATTTTTATCTAGTGTTTTGAAGTAGCAGTTTTCCTATTAATTGTCATTCACTCATGAAGCAAACTTTATTGAGTGTTGGTGATGTGCTAATAATGGTTTTGAATGCTGGGCCTCTGGCAGCACAGGAGAGACGTTGTCCGGTGGGGGGCAGAATGGAAGTGGAGGAGCTTCGCTCCAGCCTTACAGTGAAACCAGTACACAAGGAATGCAGTAAGTTCCTTTGAGAATATGATCAGCAATGCATGGAAAACAGGATCAGGTGTTAGGGCGATGGCAGTACATGACGAAGACTATTTAAGATATGGTGATCAGGGAAATGGAGAGGGAAATGGCAACCCACTCCAGTGTTCTTGCCTGGAGAATCCCAGGGACAGAGGAGCCTGGTGGGCTGCTGTCTATGGGGTCGCACAGAGTCGGACACGGCTGCAGTGACTTAGCAGTAGCAGCAGGAGATCAGGGAAAGCCTCTTCAGGAATAAACTTTGCGTTGAAACCTGAAGGAAGAGCAGTTCTGCCTGGGGGAGCTTTCTAATCAGAGGGAGTACCAAGTACATAGACCCTGACTGGAGGAAAGCTTGGTGTTAGAACTGAAAGGATAGCAGTGTGGCTGGAACAAAAAGGAGATCTCAGGAATGAGCCCTAGGATTTTAAGAAACTAGGGGGGATGGGATACCACTAATTGACATGGAGAGATGAGTGGGGAGGAACTTAGTTAGGGAGTAAATTGAAAGAGAATACTTTTTAAAACATTAAATCTGAGATGCCTGTAGGACATCCACAAGGAGATGGCAGCTTTGAGTTTAGGGGTGAGAGCAAGGCTAGGAAAAATTGCTCAACATTTTTAAGGCCCTAGATTGACTTATGGTTTTAACATGACTGAGTGAGTCCTGGGAAACAGTCAAATGGCAAGAAAGTAAAACTATAAGAGACCTGTAAACCCCAACCTCAAGATAAATGTAGAAGTTAATGTCAAATGGAGGTGCAGACAAAACTGACAGAACATTTTTATATGCATACCATGAACATTATCACAAACACAAAGGCTCTCATTTGGCACTATGGAGACAGGAGACTTAGACTGGAAGTTTCCCTGGACCCAGTTAAGCAGAAAGGAAGAATAAAGAGGGCAGGGAAGAATGAGTCACACACATGAGCTGTATGTGAGAATTAGACATTTGAGGATTGTGGGGAGGCGGTTGTGATGAGAAAGGCTGCCTTATGTACATCCCCACAGCTTCTCATCTTAATTGGCTGGAGAGAGTTAAGAAAGCACGAAAAAGTTGTTCATGCCCATAACTCTTGATTCATAAGGAGATTTCTTAGAAACCTAAACACTGGATACACTAGCCTGCAAAGGAAAGAAGCTCTCTTATTGTTACGAGCTGTCACAAGATGTATACAAATATATCTCAAAAACAGTAGGGAGAAGGGGTCTGCAAAAGAAAGCTAGCGTGGCTGGAGCAACCTTGTGAAAGGTTTACTCTGCCACCGTAGGAACTCTGGAGTGAGTGGGTGAAGACGCACATTGTTATGGTTCCCGGGTGAAAGACGTGACAGTAGTTTTTGGAACACAGTGATAATACAGACCAAGGTGGGATTGAGATATTTTTATAAATAAATATTGACAAGACTTAGTGATAAATTGGATCTTGGTTGCTACTGGGATTGAAGGATTAAGAAGAGAGTTGTAGAAAGGATCATCTATAAATTTCTGGTGTTCATAATTAGATGGGAGTTTGTCCTCTTCACCATTGTATTTTTTTAGTACTTCATTGAGCAAATGGAATGCTCCTATACATATTTCTTGAAAATGAATGAGTATTATTTTAGTTATGAAAAAGTTGCATTCAACTTCAGTATAAACAATCTGAGTAGGAGATGTGTTCTGCTGTGGGATTAAACCTAATAATTTATTCTTTACATTGAAATTTGAGCATACATCAGATGGGACCTAGACTGCAGTTTATCTTTGAAAAGTCTTTTAAAATAAGATTTGTGTGTGACAAACTAGATCAAGTGCAGCCTATTTGTGAGAGACATGATGATAAAATCTTCTGTAAAGAAACTTTGATATTTTTTTATATTATGGCAGTGATCCCAGTTTTTTTTTCATTTACATTTTAGCTTTGTTATAAACATTTCAAGCTTTTATTATTGATAAGAAATCAGAAAAAGAATATTGAAATCTTGTGTTCTCAAGTTCCTACTGCCTTTCTGAAGTGTGTGTGTGTTAGTTGCTCAGTTGTGTACAACTCTGTGCAATGCCGTAGACTGTAGCCCACCAGGCCCCTCCATCCATGGGATTCTCCAGGCAAGAGTACTGGAGTGGGGTGCCATTTCTTTCTCCAAAAGGAACTATAGAAAGAAAGAAAGTGAAGTCACTCAGTCGTGTCCGACTCTTTGCGACCCCATGGACTGCAGCCTACCGGGCTCCTCCATCCATGGAATTTTCCAGGCAAGAGTACACTGAATCACTAATTCACCCACACCCTCATACACTTTATTGTGGAAATTGTTGTTTTTGAAAAAGTGAACTATTTAGGACCAGTATTCTTATTAAGGTATGGAATTGAAACTTGTACGGTATTTTTATTCTAAAACTTCATCTTTCTTCAAACAATATTTATAACCTGGAGTTCTAGTGTTCAGATAATAAATCTTACTATAGCCAATAACTCTGAAAGTGTTTGTATGGATGTGGTTTACAGGTGTGTCCTGCTCCCTCTTTTGGGGATGAAGCCACCGCAGCAAAGCCTCTATCTTCTCGTGGATTCTGTGGACGAAGGTTGTAACGTTACTGAGGGTGAACAGATGTCCACCAGCTTATCTGGGACTGTGGCAGAGCTTTTGGCTGGTCACCACGAGTTCTTTCCACCGTGGCTATTGCTTCTCTGTTCTGCCCGAAAACAGAGCAAAGCTGTTACTAAAATGTTTACTGGTAAGTGTAATTCCTACCATCTGCAAATGTTTTTCATTGATGAACTTAAGACTTGTATTTCTTTCTCAGCGGAGAGTACTCAGTTGAAAATTTGATCCTTGCTTCTGCTGTTCTCTCAGTTGTTCTGTTCTGTTAGCAATTTTCAACTTTTTAAAGTGGTATTAAAAACAGGCCATAAAATATTTTAAGTTAATTTAATAGTAACTTTCTTTTTTTAAGATTCTTCATCTAATAACTTCCTTAGCAAAGGTGAGGGCCACATATTTTATGCTGATGTTTCCTAATCGACTTATATTTCTTCTAACTAGACTGAGCATCCTGAGAGTATGGAATATGCCTCCTTAAAAATCAGTGGCAGTTTGTCTCCGATGTTTTTCCTGGTTTTAGAGGAGAGCCTTTTAGGATACCTCTTAAAGTAGATCCTTTATTTTTTTAAACCCTTTTCCAGTGTGTGAGAAAGCAATCTATGTAACGTTTAAAAGTGCATGATCAGGTTTTTTTTTCCTTTCTTGTTTCCTGACTTTACCTTTTTTTTTTCTTTTTTTTAACTACCACAGTAAAGTGTTTACTCCTATTAAATTATGCAAAACACTTTTTTTGTGCTGTGGGAATGAAAAGGAGCATAAAACAAGGACCACTCACAGGATTTAGAGTGTAATTGGGGAGATAATAATTAAGTTATTGGTTAATTAGCTATATCACTTTAAAATAGTTCTGTACATCTTACATAAGGGTGAAATCTTACTAATTTGCTAAAATGGCTTCCTTTAACCAGATTTATTCCCTCTCTTTTTGATTGCCTTGCTAGTAATACCTTTTGATGTGGTTTCCATTATGCTATTCTGTTTTGTTATTATTGGAAATTGAGTTGATAAAAGTCAGGGAATGTATAGGATGAACTTAGATATCTCTTAGTACGTCAGGTACAGGTAAAGTTGAAGCCCCTTTTGGTCTATGTCATCCCATTTCTTTCCCTTCTTCATTTGAGACCACCAGTGTTATTAGTTTATTTTTGTCCTTTTATCTCATATTTTTCATTCTGTCTTTTTTTGTATTTCACATAAATGAAACACTGTATGCACCATCCTAGCTCTTCCCATTCACTGGCTGTGTGACCTTATGCAGCTTCCAATACAGTCTGTGCCTCAGTGCCCTCATCTATGCATTGATGGTTATTACATGTTTCTATTACTTTCCCCATAGGGTATTTTTGTGTGTGAGTCTAAATGTCAAGTTACACGTAAAGCACTTAGAACAATGCCTAGTACATAATAAGTGCTTCATAAATGTATCACTACTATTGTTATCATTTCACCATATAAAAAAAAATCAAAAAACAATATATCAAAAACAATGTTTTCGAGCCTTGTTTTTATTACTACTTTTAAACCCAGTTCATTGCTTTTAACTGCTGTATATTATTCCTTCCCATGAATAAATCTCTAGTTTTTCCATTATCCTATTTATGGACATTATTTCAGGTTTTCATTATTACAAGAAATGCTTCGTGAATGTGCTTAAACACACCTTCTTGCATACGTGCTATAAATTTATACTATAAAAATATATGTAGAATTACTAGGGAATAGAGTGTGTACATTTTGAGCTTTAATTTTGACAAACTGCTATCTAGTGTGCTTGAAATAATTTATATTCCTGCCAGGAAAGCATGAAATTTCCCTTTCTCTCTATTTTTGTCAGTTAGCGTTCGTTATTTTCAGATCTGTTTTTTCTGCTGTAGGGGCTTGTGCTTGATGTTCCCTCTGACTGATTCCCAAATCCAACTTTTATTTATCTGCAGCTTTTAGTGATTCTTATGTAGACTTTAATACAGACTCTGTAAAAAGTTTTGCCCCAAGTGTTGACTCACTCTAGCTATTTGTCTTTAGTGATGCTAGAATAGTCTTTCAGAATACAAATCTGCTCACATTATTGTCTTGGTTCTCACTGACTTCTGATCACAAAATCCAAGTCTCATTTCTTCACATAGTGCCTGGAATATAGTAGGTTTTATATATGTGTGTGTGTGTGTTTGTATGTGTATTCATATTTGTTTTATTCAATTGAGTGAGAGTATTTTACTCAGGATTAATTGACAATCACTGATCTTTGCTGCATTTCTAGATTTATTCCTCTTAAGAAAGAGTTCGTTCACTCAGCAGTTTTTTCTTCTGGAAGATGAATTACACAATTGTCTAGTAAATCCATATCTATAAAACAAGATATCATCTCCCTTCCAAAAATGAGATTATGATTCCTTTTAAAGAACTTAAAGTGAGTTTTGAATAGCTGTTAACTAGTATGTTTTTAGGTTGGTTTGAATTTTATTAAGCTGCTTTATTTTTACAGTGCTGAAGTTTTGTTAATGTGGTTTAACCAAGTTGTATCTTCAGATTGGAACTGTTTTTGACAATCTAAGATTTAATTATTTAAATTTGGTAACATGTAAAATAATGTAATTTAAAGGTGGTGACAAGTGCTATTCTAGTTGTATGCAAATATTCAATTCCATAATTAAGACTAGTGTACATTCGGCTACGTGGATAGAAATATGTAAATTTTTCATATGGAAAAGATCAGCATATAAAAACAAATCTTATTTATGTCTTCTGCAACTTTCTTTCCTAATCATTTGAGAGGGATCAAAAAAACTTCCAAAAGTGTTTGGATATAGCTAAAGACGTCTAATGCTATAATGATGAGTTTAGTTGAAGTTGAGAGGAGCACTGAACCACTAAACAAATAAATAGTTCCCTTTGTAGATAGTAAAATGAAATTTATCTGCCATTAGTGTGTTTTCCCAGAAGGAAAAAAAAAAAACCAAATCTGATTATTATATTTCTAGGTATTCATTGACTTGTTTATTAGTATTAATTGACTTACTATTAATTTATTTGATTATTAATTTATCACATGTTGAACACATGCTCTTTGAAATATGGCAACTTTGATAATCATTTTCAATTGACAGCTACTTTTTTGTCCTTAGGTTTTCGAAAAATAAGTTTAGATGATCTTCGGAAGGCATATATCGTTAAGGATGTTCAGCAGTACATCCTTCATCGTTTAGATCAAGAAGAAGCTTTGCGACAACACCTCACGAAAGAAACTGCAGAGATGTTAAATCAACTGCACATTAAAAGCAGCGGATGCTTTCTTTATCTAGAACGAGTTCTCGATGGAGTTGTAGAAAATTTTATTATGTTGAGAGAGATTCGTGACATCCCAGGAACTCTAAATGGTCTGTATCTCTGGCTGTGTCAAAGACTTTTTGTAAGAAAACAGTTTGCAAAGGTTCAGCCTATCTTGAATGTGATTCTTGCAGCCTGCCGGCCTCTGACCATAACAGAATTATATCATGCAGTATGGACAAAAAATATGTCATTAACCTTGGAAGATTTTCAACGCAAGTTAGATGTCCTCTCCAAACTTCTTGTTGATGGACTTGGAGATACTAAAATACTATTTCACTACAGTTTTGCAGAGTGGCTCCTGGATGTGAAACACTGCACTCAAAAGTATTTATGCAATGCAGCAGAAGGACACCGAATGTTGGCTATGAGTTATACCTGTCAAGCCAAGAATTTAACACCATTGGAAGCACAAGAATTTGCGCTGCACTTAATTAATTCGAACTTACAGTTAGAGACAGCTGAGTTGGCTCTGTGGATGATATGGAATGGCACACCTGTCAGAGACTCCCTGTCTACTTTAATACCCAAGGAACAAGAAGTGCTGCAGCTGTTGGTGAAAGCTGGCGCTCATGTCAACAGCGAAGATGATCGCACATCATGCATCGTTCGGCAGGCCTTAGAAAGAGAGGATTCCATTCGGACATTATTAGACAATGGAGCTTCAGTAAATCAGTGTGATTCTAATGGGAGAACATTACTGGCTAATGCGGCTTACAGTGGCAACCTTGACGTGGTGAATTTACTGGTCTCTAGGGGAGCAGACTTGGAAATAGAAGATGCTCACGGACACACGCCACTCACCCTGGCTGCTCGACAAGGACATACCAAGGTGGTCAATTGTCTGATTGGTTGTGGAGCAAATATTAATCACACCGATCAGGATGGCTGGACAGCATTGAGATCCGCGGCTTGGGGTGGTCACACTGAGGTTGTGTCTGCACTGCTTTATGCTGGCGTAAAAGTGGACTGTGCAGATGCCGACAGCCGAACAGCTCTGAGAGCAGCAGCCTGGGGAGGACATGAGGATATTGTGCTGAACTTGCTCCAGCATGGTGCTGAAGTCAACAAAGCTGACAACGAAGGCCGAACTGCTTTGATTGCGGCTGCCTACATGGGACATAGAGAGATCGTGGAACACCTGCTGGATCACGGAGCAGAAGTGAATCATGAGGATGTTGACGGCAGGACTGCACTCTCTGTGGCTGCACTTTGTGTTCCTGCAAGTAAAGGACATGCATCGGTCGTTAGCCTTCTGATTGATCGAGGTGCTGAAGTGGATCACTGCGATAAAGATGGCATGACGCCCCTGCTGGTGGCTGCCTATGAAGGACATGTCGATGTGGTTGACTTGCTTCTAGAGGGGGGAGCTGATGTCGACCACACGGATAACAATGGGCGTACACCCCTCCTAGCTGCTGCTTCTATGGGTCATGCCTCAGTTGTAAACACGCTTTTGTTTTGGGGTGCTGCCGTGGACAGCATTGACAGTGAAGGGAGAACAGTGCTTAGCATAGCTTCAGCCCAGGGAAACGTTGAAGTAGTCCGTACTCTGTTGGACCGGGGCTTAGATGAAAATCACAGAGATGATGCTGGATGGACACCTTTGCACATGGCAGCTTTTGAAGGCCACAGATTAATATGTGAAGCACTTATTGAACAAGGTGCTAGAACAAATGAGATCGACAACGATGGGCGGATACCTTTCATATTAGCGTCACAAGAGGGTCATTATGACTGTGTTCAAATACTACTGGAGAATAAATCCAACATTGATCAGAGAGGTTATGATGGAAGAAATGCTCTGAGGGTTGCTGCGTTAGAAGGACACCGGGACATTGTTGAATTGCTTTTTAGCCACGGAGCTGATGTTAACTACAAAGATGCTGATGGCAGGCCGACACTTTATATTTTGGCCTTAGAAAATCAGCTTACAATGGCTGAGTATTTTTTGGAAAATGGTGCAAACGTGGAAGCAAGTGATGCTGAAGGCAGGACAGCACTTCATGTCTCGTGCTGGCAAGGCCACTTGGAGATGGTGCAGGTTCTGATCACCTACCATGCTGATGTCAACGCTGCTGACAATGAGAAGCGCTCCGCACTGCAGTCTGCAGCCTGGCAGGGCCATGTAAAAGTGGTGCAGCTTCTCATTGAGCATGGCGCCGTGGTGGACCACACGTGTAATCAGGGCGCCACCGCGCTCTGCATTGCGGCCCAGGAAGGACACATTGACGTCGTGCAGGTTTTATTAGAGCATGGTGCCGATCCAAACCATGCTGATCAATTTGGACGCACTGCTATGCGAGTTGCAGCCAAAAATGGACACTCTCAGATAATTAAATTATTAGAAAAATATGGTGCATCCAGTTTGAATGGCTGTTCTCCATCTCCTGTTCACACGATGGAGCAAAAACCTCTACAGTCAGTGTCTTCGAAGATGCAGTCCCTAACAATTAAATCAAATAGCTCAGGCAGCACTGGTGGCGGGGAAGTGCAGCCTTCATTGCGCAGTTTACCAAATGGGCCAGCTCATGCATTCAGTTCTCCTTCAGAATCGCCTGATTCGACAGTTGATCGGCAAAAGTCATCGTTGTCAAATAATTCCTTGAAAAGCTCAAAAAATTCATCTTTGAGAACTACTTCATCTACAGCAACGGCTCAAACAGTGCCAATTGACAGCTTCCACAGCTTGTCATTTACAGAACAAATTCAGCAGCACTCGTTGCCACGCAGTAGAAGTCGCCAGTCGATTGTCTCCCCATCTTCCACAACACAGTCCTTGGGCCAGAGCCATCATTCACCGAGTAGTGAGTTTGAGTGGAGTCAAGTCAAGCCCAGCTTGAAGTCAACGAAGACGAATAAAGGGGGGAAATCAGAAAATTCCAACAAATCTGGGTCAGCTGGGAAAAAAGCTAAACAAAATAATTCTTCACAGCCGAAGGTGTTAGAATATGAAATGACACAGTTTGATAAAAGAGGACCCACAGCCAAATCTGGAACCAATGCACCATCTAAGCAGATGCCAGCAGATTCACAGTGTAAAATCATGATTCCTTCAGCTCAGCCAGAAATAGGCCGATCTCAACAGCAGTTCCTTATTCACCAACAAAGTGGGGAACAGAAGAAGAGAAACGGAATAATGACAAATCCAAATTATCATCTGCAGAGCAACCAGGTTTTTCTCAGTAGGGTTTCAGTCCCACGGACAATACAAGACAGAGGGCATCAGGAAGTGTTAGAAGGATACCCTTCCTCGGAGACGGAATTAAGCCTTAAACAAGCTCTGAAGCTTCAGATTGAGGGTTCTGACCCTAGCTTCAACTATAAAAAGGAAACACCATTATAAAAGGTAACATTTCATCAACATAAAGAATAAACATCCAAAGTATGGTTCCCTCCATATATTGTTCCCTTAGAATGCTCTTTTCCCTAATCCACATGGCCTGTTCCTTCACCTCATCACTATCCGTGTCCTCTTCTCAGCAAGACCCTCCCCTCGTTACCCTTGGAATTTGAATTCCCCCACCTCCACCACTTCCTTTCCCCCTTTTCTGCTTCACATTAGCCATGGTACTTATTTCTTAACATGGTTTATATACATTATTATGTTTATTATTTGTCCCCTCTCATCTGAAATGTCAGCCTTGTGAGGGTAGGGATTTTTAGTCTCTCTTGTTTACCACTGTATTCCGTGTACTTGGAATACTGCTTGGACCCATGTAGTTTCTCGGGTAAAAATGTTTTGTATGAGTGAATGAATGAATATGCTATTTATGGATCTCAGATTAAAGATTCCTTCCTATACAATCATTCTCCCCACCTTAAAAGTTCTTTTATGATAACAGAGGTGGGGCTATTTCCCTTTTGGGTTTGAATAAAGTAGTGTATGTAATGCTTAATAGGTAGGTAGTGAATGTTAATTTCCTTCCATTTTTCACCCTGGAAGAAATAAAAAATTTAATCATAAAAGGTAATTTTTATTATGACAAATCTCTTAAGAATCTTTCAAGTGAAATGTACGCGTATCAAAAGTAGATAAATGGATATATTTAGGGTATTCAGGGCCCAATATTTAGGTGTGAGAATTGTTTTAAACCTCAAAGTTATATTTATTAAATAAAAACTTTCTCCTTTCTACTACAGTGGATACTATTCTAATTATAGAGGGGAGTTTAATGGGAAAATTGATTTATAGTTTTATATTATGGATACTTTTTCAGAAATACATTTCTCATATTTGAGATAAATTCAAGGTTTCATTAGGCATTTTTGCTAAATTATACACAAGTATGTTTGTACATGTGTTTAATTATACACAAGTATTTCCTATACATTCTAATAATAAACATCCTTCAAATTGAATATATGGAGGACTGGTGAAATCTCATTCAAACATAAGTTGTATGAAAGTAGTTCATTCATTCTCCAATGTGATTTATTTTAAAAATATTTAGTTCTGATGGTACAGCCCTCTAACTCTCATGATATCTTTTGTAAATATTAAGTGTGGGTATATATTTTACAATAAAACATATAAATTAAGGTGAGCACTTGTGGAATATTTAAGTAATTTATATTTAGTGAATCTCTAATAGGTCTCCTTTTGTGCTTTAAATAGTAAATATATATATATATATATATATATATACACACACACATATATTCTTATGTGAAAGTGAAAGTCACTCAGTTGTGCCTGACTCTTTGCGACCCCATGGACTATACACTCCTTGGAATTCTCCAGGCCAGAATACTGGAGTGGGTAGCCTTTCCCTTCTCCAGGGGATCTTCCCAACCTAGGGATCGAACCCTTTCTTATGTAGAGTTTGAAAACTATATGTAGTTATATTTAAAAAGTATAACGTAGAAATTAATTTTTTTTTTAACTTTTGTATTAGTTTCCTATTCTGTGAAACAGAAGACATTGTGATTGGAGTGATTCTTCAGCTACTGGATGAAAACATAAAATGCCTGTTGATTTGCTGAAAAAAAAAAGAAGAATGTGATACCTGCAGTACAGTTACCTTAAATACTGTCACGTGCCTAAGTAGTAAGGCTGCCTTCTCAATGTAACCCTCTGTGCTTAAAAAATTTCATTTTGTGTGCTTTGTATTCACTACCCAAGAGTAAGCACTTTTTTTTTTTTAATGCAGATATATACTGCAGTTCCCTGATAAAAGATGAAAAATATTTTGAGTATTTTAAGTTAATATTTGATAAGTGTGCATGTGCCATGATCAAATATATATGAAAAGGCAGTGTTCCTTGTATTTATTTTTTTCTTTCTGTGGCAAATGAAACTTAAGCATACTGTTTCAGTCACACTTACCTTTTTGTAGTGTATAGTTTGTTTTCCTGTATCCTTAAAAATGTCACTCAATAAAATAAATCATGCAACTCTTTTATGTTCACTACACCTTCAGCATTGGTTAAAAATGTGTTTCTATTTAATGCTACATCAAGGTGAAAAAAATAGTTTCATGAAAGATTTTCGAAAAGTCTAGTATTTTAGGGAGCTGCTCTAAGTAGTTTAAATTTGGACTTCTCAGTGTAATCCTCCTAATCTTCAGCTAAAGGTGTGGGAAAAAAAAAAGAAAAAACCCATACACAGACTATAGGCAGAACAAAGTTCTGTTTCATTCACTGGGATGCAGTTTCACCTTCCTCTCACTTGTCATTCCACATCCAAGAAGACAGATGATCATTCCTGAGGCATGAAAATTCTCAGGGACAGAGCCAGGCCTCAGTGGCATGTGTATAGAGGGAGATGCACCTGTCTATCTGAGGGTAGATTTTTGATCCCTGAACAATTCACTGACTACCCTTCTTTCTTCCATCCAGTTATGTAAAACATTTACCACTGTAGATTATGATGCCAGCTTCTCTCTGTCCTTTCTATTTTGTAAATCACTGCATGTCTGAAATAGCCCCCCACTCAGAATCAATTGGATCAATTTTAATGATTAGTTGGATGAATATTCTTGATGAATATGTGTTTTCCTTCACAGATGACACCACTAACCTATCGGCCATAGTACAGATGTATTTTTTTATTGCTATTTGCTAAACAGTAGTAATGGATTTGCACTTTTCTGTCCACATACTCTTTCCTGTTTTACTCTTTGGACAATCACTTCTAGAATGATAGATGCCAGGGTTAGGGGTGAAGTCTGTAACCAAGGAAAACAAAGTCAGCTGTTCAGATGAGCATGTGACCCACTGCCTTGACCTCCTGGATGGACACTTAAACCAGTTGAGCTAGATTGGTGTATGCATGTCTGGAGAGGTTCAAATTTATTGTTTAGAAACCAAGGTTGCAGGTTTGATCTTTACAAAAGCCCTGGGATCTTACAAAACCCAGAAATTCTATTCTTTCCATGTGCTGTTGATGAAGAGGAATAGGAAAGAGAATTTGGAGATTCAGCACAAAACCATTGCAACTACTGGAAAAAAATCTTTAGGAAATGTCTTAGTATCTGAGGTCAGTAATGTCATCTTCATATATGAAGGACACATGCATGATGCATTGTTCACAGAAACAGAAATATGTAGTTGGTCGTGATAAATGTTTCACTTGATTTTCCTGTAAGGCTTTTGTTTTTGCTTCTGTTTTTTAAAGTCAGCGAAACTTGGGTGTTTATATCATCGGTAAGTCATAATCAGAATAGGAGATAAGTTCAATCTATATTAAGGTGACATGGCAATATTTATAACTCGAATGTGAATGTTTCAAGTGTTGAATTTTTGTCCCTATGGGACATTTATTAAATACACTTAATAGGACTCTTGCAAAGTAGCCTTAAAAGTGTTAATGATTCTGTTAATAACTATGAACACATCCTATTATTAGAACCAACTCTACTCATATCTGAAATACAGTACATTTACGTAATTTAGAAGAGAAAGCTCTAATTTCTTATTAGGTGTATTTTTCTTTAGAAAGAGAATCTTGAAAGCTGCCAGTTTTTCTATAAAACCTTGAATTATTGGAATTGTATTTATTTAATTTTATTGTTTTTACAAAAATGCACCTTGTGGCCAGCGGGCAAAGATATGACTCGTGACACAAGGGATTTCTGTTTTCTGAAGAGCTCAGTGTTTTCATATCCATACTCTATTCACTTGAAACAGTTGGTAGGAAGAGAACCTGTTGGAAAAATATGCTTTTCGGAAGTAAATATTCCTCCGGGTGTTTTCATATGAACTAAGTTTTGGAGTAGAACAGCACTGGCTTTCACTTAGGGTAAGGCTAACATGGGGTCGAAGAAGCCCTGCTTTCCTTATTGGTTTCTGTGGGGATTTACCTAATACCATGACTGAAAATAGCTTCTGCTCCATTGAGAGTAAAAATAGTCCCATAAATAGAAAACTCCTAAATAACTATTTTTTAAATAAAAAACATTAAATTTTGTAAATCACCTGCTGCCACAATACAACCATGGTCTGTGTGCTTTTAAACAGCTCTATACCCCTCCATTTGTGTTCCTTTCCTAAAAGTCATGAGTTGATGGCAGAGGAAGTGATTTTTTAAAAAATAAAGTAATGAAAACTAAAATGTCCATGCACGTAGGAAAGGTTTTGGAAGGAAAATGGAGCAGAACTCAGTGTGTTCTGCAGAATACAGCCAGTTATGTTGTGTCCCTCACCCTCACCCCCCATGCCCACCAGAATCCTCACCAAAAGTAGTTCACTGCTCAAAAAACAGGAGTAAGTACTTTTTCCAATATTGTTTGCCTATGCAAATACTTGTTTTACTTTAATGTCCTCCATTACACTTTGCAACAAATGTAGTTGCAGACAAATGCTTTTTCTTTTTGAATTTTTCCCTTGGTTTGGGGGTATGTAAATAGCCTAAAAATGTACATTGAATTTCACATTGTAAAAGTTTTATTTTATTCCTTGTATTATATTAAGCAAAAATCCATATGTAAATGAAAGTGCATAATAAATATATTTGCTTTACAGAGAATACCTTGTTTTAATTTTATCCTTGAATCCGCAGAAGGTGCATGACATGCTTACAGTAGAAACAACTGTCTCTTAACTTCTTTTAAGTACTGAGGAGATGAATTTGGAAACATTTTACAAAGAAAAAATGAGATAGAAAAACTTTCAAAGGAAGGTAGAAATTAAAAAGATCTAGCCTTAGTATCTTCCTAAAGCTTTTATAAGGACTTAATATTCTCTACCCTTCTCCCAAGAACATACTGTATCTCTCACTACTCAGGTTTCCCACCTCTGAAATCCCAGTAATCCAGTAAATTGTATGCATGTATGCTCCCTGATCCTCAGAACACTGTGGGCATCTTAAATTTGGTATATTGGGGGTTTTGTTGCAAAACTTGT